TATTATGGTCAACATTCATAAAAGCACCATATTAAAAAATGTTATATGTGAAGGATGCAAATAAAGCCCCTGGAAAATTTCTACCCCATATATATATATATATATATCACTTATAACCAAGTCTTACATCAGCATCTATGTAAGCTATATAACAATATTGCAAGTACATACAATATCACAAGGGGGGCAGAGCTATGAATGGATCACATTTACGTATTCTTCAGTTTATCAAATAAAATGAAGAAGCAATTAATAGTCAAATGAAGAAACAGATTTAATTTTAAAACAACTCACAAAGAGAGTATAAAGTCATAGAGCAGCATCCCAGACACCAGTGACAAATGCCTAGTGTTTTTGTAATACTCAAGGATAACTAAAAGTAAGAACATGACAGACTCGGTATATAGAGATCAACAGAGAGATAAGTTTCAAATAGACACATGACTTAGACATAAAACATAATACCACAAACAGATTAGAAGAGTAAGGAAGAAATTACCTTTCAGATATAGGGGAACATTTATGACCAAACAAAGAGAAAAAGGCAGAAGATAAAATAGAGAATTTTAATTACATAAAATTTCAAAGTTCTTAAGCAAACAAAATCAATGCAGCTAAAATTAGAAGGGAAACAGTTAACTGAGAAAAAAATCTTTGCAGCATGATTCTCTCATAAAGGTCTCAATTCTAAGAGATATAAGAAATTGATTCAAAGAAATGCCTATTAACATATCAAAAGCAGATTCTGAGGTCTGACTTCATACCCATCAGATTGGCAAAAATGACAAAAAAGGAAAAATGAAAATGCTGAAAAGGCTACAGGAAAAAAAAGGCACATTAAAGCACTGTTGGTGGATCTCTGACATGTTTCAGACATTCTAGAAGACAATAGGAACTATGCCCAAAAAAAGTTATTAAACTACACAAACCCTACAAACCAGAGATATTGCTATGGCTATAGCCCAAATATTGGAAACTAAGGAAGTGCCCATCAATTGGGAAACAATTGAACAAATTGTGGTACATGGAAGTAATGCAAAATACTATTGTGCTGTAAGAAATGATGAAAGGGATAATTTTAGAGAAACCTAGGAAAACTTGTATGAATTGATGAATTTAAAATGCAAAAAGAGACATACATTTATGGACATGGCTAACATGAGAATTTGTTTTGCCAGACCATGTAGACATTTTGGGATTCGTTTTTTAGGTTTGTTTCTTTTTCTTTCTTTTTTTTAATTTGTTCAATAAGAGAGAGAATGGGAGGGTCAGATTAATCTTTTAAAATACTTGTAAGACATGAAAAACAAAAAAAAAATAAAGCAAAAAAAGAACTGATGCAGAGTAAAGTAAACACTTTGTATAGTAACACTAAAATAAAGACAAGCAACTTTGAAAGACTTAAGAACTGTGATCAACACAATGCTACCCATTTCCTGATAGAGAGGTAATGAACTCAGGGTGCAGCCTGAGACATACAATTTTTGGACTTGACCAACAGGAGAATTTATTTTGTTTAACTACTCATATCTGTTACAAGGGTTTCATATTTTTTTCTCCCACTTAGGAGAAGAAAGAGAAAAAATGGAATTTTCGTTGAAAAAAATTTAATTTTTTTTAAAAAAAAAGTACAGGCCACAACACTCAAAAAAAAAGATTGAGAACCAATCAGAATAGCAAATTGGGTTTTAAGAAAATTGGGCAAAAAGGAATCATTACGTATATAAGAAAACAGGAAAACAGAATTTAGAACTAGAAAATTAGGGAATGAACAACCCAAATCAACCCAAATGAGGAAATCAATGAGCCCGACATAAGCAAAGTGATTTGCCCCCCAGTAATATAGGTGTTAGTGTCGGGATTTGAATTTAAGTCCCTTGACTCCAAATCCATGGGTCTATCCTCTATGTTGGGCTGCTAAGCGGCATAAATAAATGAGTGGAAAGACAGACACACAGAAATAAAGAAACGTAAAGTGAATAACGTATTGGACTTTGAATCAGTAAGACCTGAGTTCAAATCCTGCCTCAGGCGCTTAACAGTTATGCGACCCTGAGTAAGTCCCTTAACTTCTCTCAGCCTCAGTTTCATCATCTATAAAACAGGCATAATAATAGCACCAACCTCCCAGAGTTTATTTCTGGGATCAAATGAGGTAATGTTGAGTGTTTTGTAAAGCTCAAAGTACTGTATAAATGTTAGCTGCTATTATTGTTATAGTATATTGCTTTCCCTCTCAGAGTACAACAAAACAGAGAACACCACTGATCATTCTGAAATTAGAACATAACATCCCAAGTAGGGAATTTATTCAGTTTTCAAAAAGTATACTGGGAAAGAGAACTTTGGCTTCTTAAAATATCTTGGGCATGCAATGTAAATATTGCTAAATCATTAAGAACAGTTATGTCAGTAAATGAGACCAAAAGTCTGTTGATGTTTTAAAAAATTAAACAAGGAAAGAATGAAGAAACATGTAGCAACAAGATATAATCACATGAATGGCTCAAACCAAGACTAACATTTTGAAAATCATAAATTAAGAGTTCTCCTGTACCTTGAAATGAAACAGGCGTAGTTAATCTATTTTCCCCAAAATAAGGGCTATTCCTTGAAGTTTGTCACAAGTTTTAAGTTTAAAGGACTATATGGAAATGAAACAGGGTTTTCAATTGCCAAGGCAACCTGAGAAGCAGCTTGAACCAACTAGTTAAATTCAGATATGTGTAGCTGGAATTCTGATCACTCTCACATACTCTGTGTCCAAGTGTAATCACTAAAACAACCACTATAGGCACATAATGAAAGGGGGTTACATTTATATAAAACTCCTCCCCTACAGCAGAATGCACATCTACCACTGCTTCCACTCTCTCTGATCTGCCCTCAGCTAAAGTGAAATTAAGTCTGAAGGAGTAGACATAAATCATAGAGCTCAGGTACAAGAAGAGGGGATCAAAATATCAACTCCCAGAACTAACTCTTACATTGCTGCCAGTGTTGGGTCACTTCATGGCAATTTATTCTTCCCATTTTAAGAAATAATGGAGTGATGATGACAGTGTCATAAAAGGTCTGAATAATGACTGCAATGGCATTTACATAAGGTGTGAGCCAAATATTTTGTCTGAGGGGGCAATACTTTTGTGCCAATCCTAATAACAAATCCATAAATAAATTTAACAAACACTTTTCTTGAGACATTAAGAATCAAATATGACTGCATTTGGTGTTTACAGGTTTGTGATCTGTTGTTACATGTCAAAAATGTAAAGATTAATTTGACTTTCCAATGAAAGACACAATGTACTATTTAACAACGTATTGCCTCTCCAACTTTTCTGGGGATTATGGGAAAATATTAAAAATGGCACATACAAGTATAAATAAGCAGAAAAAAATTGTTAGGATACTACTGTTAAGTTTTTACACAAATGATAAAACACTGTATGCCCTACGCAAAGTAATTATGGATTCTCTTCATCAAAAGTAAGCAACTGCCCTTACATTATAGGCAAGAACATTACACATCCTTTTATTTATTTTTATTTTTTATAGCTGCTTTCAAAATGCTTGCTAGTGCAACTGCCCAGAACACATTTCCAATGGTGTTATGCATTTTGTTAACAAACTACATGGAAATTTGTCTGTGACACTCTGTTAAGGGAGAAATACTCATCTAAATACTTACTGGAAGCTTAAACAGGAGACAGGCAGCTCTTCAAATCAAATTTCACAAAAACACAATAGAGATATTTACTAAGAATCTCTGAGAAAAGCATAAAATGCAGGAAATACTGTAAAAATTCCTGGAAATTTATATGAGCAACAAAAAAATTTTTATTTCCTTTAAGGGGGTAGTAAATTATAGGAAATTTTAAATTATAATTATGTAAATTCACTGCATATGAATTTCTGCTGAATTAGGAATTTTCAGTATTATGAAAGAAAAATTGGATGCACAAGACAGAGGAAAAGTGCTGGGTATGGAATCAAGGCCTGAGTTATTTGTGTGACATTTGGCAAGTCACTTAACCCTTCAGTGCCTTATTTTCAGGATGAACAAAACAAAGAAAGAGGATTAGAAGATGCCCAAAGTTTCTTTCCAACTCTAAATGAATCTCTCTAATATGGAAAAATTATTAATATGTAAAACAATACCTATTATTTTTCTCAGTATTTATGAAAGCATTTTTTAAAAAGAAGCAAGTTTCTCCCACAAGTGATCACAAGTACTATCAGAAGTTCACGGAAAAAAACAGGTTAATGACTTTGAGTGTTATTTTTGGAAAGAGAAGACCAAAGACAAAAACCTCCAGGTTGTACACCACTAGTACCACTGAATTCAGGGAGGAGAGCAGAGTCACAACCAGCTCAAAACTAAAATGGTCTTCTTTTAAATGTTTGTTTTAAGTAAAACTCAATATACCTCACCAGATCACAAATTTTCAAACTTACTTAGTACTAAGATGATATGGAATTAATGGTTTTCCTTGTGCTAGGCAATCTAAAGAAAGTTTTGCAACAATTTTAAGAACTGTTGCTTCGATTTTCTCATTTATGTGTTTGTCTAATTCCTAAACTTACAAAAAACATAAACTGCAATGCAAAGAAAAGTTCTACAGGAAAATGAATCAATATGAAGATTCAAAGACTTCTGCGATAATCAAACTGCCAACTGACTAAAAACAAAACAAATACAAAACTTATACTAAATCTCAAGCAAGGTTACTCAAATTTCAAGAGGTTAAAATCAATTCCAGATTTCACCTCAACAGGCATTAACATCCCAGAAGTAACCTCATTTGTCAAACCATTCATATAAAGACCTACCATCATCAGGTAAAATAACCACCCACCCCAAATTGTATTCCAAAACAAATGTAAAAACACAAAACCATTCCACATAGATTTTCACACTTCTCCATCACACTTTAGAACTCACTTGTTTAAATACGGATCTTTCCAACAGCAGCAGCAGTTTCTACAAAGTTATTTACCTTGTCCAGGCCTTGCAATTGCAGCTGCTCCTAAAGATGATGGCTCAAGCTCCTGTTAATTACAGAAAGTTGTAGGTGTTTTAAGTGTTTTGCTATACAGTATATTTTATAATAAATGACTACTGTTATTAGGGTCCTACCTTTGCCTTCCTTGATTCTGGATCAAACCTTTCAAGAATTAATTTAGCAGTCTTGTAAGTTTCTTTTTCCATGACTTCTTCAAGCTGTGAACAAAAATTTCCATAAGTTGTCATTTTTAAATTTTAACTGCTTATAAATGTTATTTTCACAAGTCTGACTTAAAATTTGTTAAAGTGAAAAGTTCAGTGAAAATACACCACATAATATATCTAGACAGTATTGAAGACTTCCTATGTTCAAAATTTTAGGTTTTATAATAATTTCTAACCTCTAATGTGCTACTTGTATTTTATAGCTTTATTGGAAAGAACCACCAAATATTACTAATTGTTTACATATAATGAGGAGAATAATTACATGCACCAACTTCAATAATGGAATGTGCAAAAATCTATCAGCCATCATTATCGGAAGTTATTAGACATGACAAGCAAATGACAGGCAATTCCTCAGATTTATTTTCTCATAGCACTTAATGCTATTAATTTAAAGAAGGTCGTTAGCCAAGTGCTTTACTGAATAAAGTCTCTGTGCCAATTAACTGCTGTCAGCATCGATTTTAGATTATTTATTAGCAGAAGCAATTAGCTTGCTGCAAATGCTGTGAAAACTCACTAACTGGGAGAACAGCCATGGAATTTGCTCAGATAACTTTAAGGGCTAAATTCCATTTTTACAGTTAGATTCAAACAACTTCTGAAGAGGAAAAAAAATGTACATGGTAAGAATTTAAATAAAAAATTTACTGAGTTCTATACATACTTTAGAGGTTGTAACTAGCGCACTCCATTATTATAGTAGTTTATTTACAATGAACTCAGGTCACATCGTAACTTTAACACTTAATATTAAAAGTTATCACTAGTAAAAAATAATTTTAGCAGTTAAAAGGCAATGTTAGAAAGTTTAACTTTAGTATGCAGATACTGTTATAATTAATATGTAGAATGAATAAAACATTTCTAAAAATCTTAACTGGACATCACCCTTCCAAATAACTATTTATGACAACTTCTTAGATTCATCACATACATATATATATATATCTATATTCGAAAGGCCAAATATATTTTAAAATACAACTCCAAGTGTACTTAATAAATTGTAAAAAGAATTAAAAAGATACTACCACAAAAGAGTTAATATACTTCTGGTTAATCACTCAATTCTGCAAGTAAAAAACCAACCGCCTTAGTCGAGTGATTCCCAGTCTTACTTTCATGCCACTACTGTCTTGTCTCCAATTATCACAAAGAATACAAAGAAATTCTCTTACCAAAAAATGAATTTTATTTATTTTGATTTTAAGTGCTTTATATAATTTTGCTGATGGTACAGAATGCATCCCTACACAAAGACAAAAAAAAATGATAGAGCAACACACTTCCAAAAAGATTGAGAATTGCTCGCCAAGATTAGAATCTTACTTTGAAGCAAATCAAACAAGCATTAAGCACCAGCAAGTGTACTAGGCACCGGGAATACAAAGACAAAAATGAAATAATTACTGCCTTTAAAGAGCTTAGTGACACATCTTCACAGATAAATAAATGATGTATATACACAAGAAAAAATATCCGTTGATGGAGTGACACTAGCAACGAAGAGTTTCAGGAAGGCCTCTTGGAGGAAACTGCAATGGAAGCGAGCCTTGAAAGGAACTTAAGTTCTCAAAGGCAGAGAGAAGGGAAAGCATTTCATGTATGGGGAAACAGACTGTGCAAAGGCACTGAGGTGAGATCCAGAAGTTCATGATTGTGGAACAGCAAATCTGGCTTGACAGGATCTAAGAGTACAAGGGAACAACGTATAATTACCCTGGAAAGTTAGGCCAACACAATGCAAAGGGAGGGAAGAAGCGGGTAGGTAGAGAGACAGAACAGACATAGATGGGGTATGAAAGAAGAAGGAACGGTTGCCAGAGAAAGGTGTTTTAGTGTAAGAAGTCTAATGGGATTCTTCGTAAAGCCATAAGAGGGTAGGTTATTATACTCTTCCCAGTAACCATGGTAACACTGCTTTGAGGAAAAGGTAGAAAGGAGATGGGGATTTGTGGTTGAAATAACTACAGTGGAGGGCAGTTGGCAAGATGCCCCAGCTGTTTAAGCCCTGGTATCCTGATGAGATGGCTGGGACCTATAAAATATAGAGGACTGAGGCTAAGTTTCACTTATTCATCTCTCTAATCCAGAACTAAGGCAACTACGCAAGTCCCACAGATGAATGAATTAACTCCTACAGTGTCATCAGTCTTACAGAGTAAAAAGGTATAACATCATTCTTTTAAAGTAAGTTTTAGAAATCAAAACACAAAAATGGACTAGATTAAAACTTAGGGAACCCATTTTATTTGTCCAAATAACCATCCTGTTAGGAAGGCAAAAAAGGCAAAGAATCATAATGTTAGTTCTAGGGATCATAGCCTGCAGCCAAAATGAGTTTTGACTGTCAGGACAGGAATTACAGGAAGAAATTTCCTAGAAGTTTATGTGATTATCATGAGGAGCTAAATTTAAGGTACTATAGTTTGACCTTAGGCAGTCCTGAGTCTTACCTGTAATCCCCAACTATAAGACAGGTTAGGAACAGAGCCTTTTTTTTTAGCTACTTCTTTACTGTCTTCTAGTAAACACATGAACTTTGTATTGGGGAGACTACCTAAGGGCCTTCCACTAGTTGCAGCTACAACTGGCTTCTACTAGGGTTCATATTCCCCAATTCCACATCCTCTTTCTTCATTCATTCAACAAGGTTTTACTGATCTTGTACTATGTGTACAACATTGTCTTATGTGCTAAGGGGTATATAAAAGATGTATAAACAGTTAATAACAATGCCACAAAGTGTGTGATTAAATTTCAAAAGTTTACACAATGTTACGAGATTACAGAGAAAGGAAAAACCAGTGAGGGCTAAGGAAGGAGTCAGGGAAGACTAAGATTAATAATAAAAATAATCTAACATTTATACAGCACTTAATATGCATCACGTGTACTGTGCTAAGCACTTTACAAATATTATCTCATTTGATCCTCACAATCACCCTGGAAGATAGGTGATTTTATTTTCCCCATTTTATAGATGAGGAAATTAAGGGTAGGAGAGGTTAAATGATTTGCCCATGGTCACACAGCTAGTTAAGTGTCTGTGCCAGGATATGAACTCAGACCTTCCCAACTCCAAGTTCAGTGCACTCTATCTGCTGTACCATCTCACCCAGTAGAATAAGCTGCTAGGGAGCTCATCCTTACTTCTCACTCTTTCCTACCCAGATCACACTGGGATTTGCCTTTCTCCACCCTGCATTCTTGTCAATGCCCAAGCCCTCTTCCCACAGCCTCCCCCACTGTGATAAGAAGCCCAGGTTCCCTCAGTCCCAATCCCTCCTTTCCAACAGTCTTTGGTCCAGGCACCTCCAGTCTTCCTACCTCCTTCCACTCCAGGCAATCATGGCTACTCACAACACTTCAGGAAAAACAGGTGGTCACCAACTATAATCCTTTTGGTAAGAAGAAATATCAATGAGCTTGAGCACCTGCCCTGACACTATAGCCTAAAGACCACCAGGCCTTACTATATGCCTTACCACTGAAACCTAGAGACATCCACCCTGAAAAAAATAAACACCTAGAGACATCCACCCTGAAGCATCCTTTTTGACATCCACCCTGCAGCTGCACCCTCTTATATGTGTTGTCTCCCCCAGGGAAAATGTGAACTCCTTGAGATCAGGGAGTACACCAATTTCTATTTGTGGTTCCATCACAGAAATAAGCACTTCATAAATGCTTTTTCATTCAGTCATTCATGAAGTCACTCATGAGAGATTCATCTGAACCCTAACTAGGCAGGATATGGATAGGCTGAGAGAAGAAAGAAGGGAAGTCAAGATAAGGAGAACAGCAAGAGGAAACACAAAACTGGCTATTATACTAGAAATCTGTGCAAACAGATTGGGAGTCAGACTGAAGTTAGATCATAAAAGACCTTGAGATGCCAAGCTAAGAAGTATGGATTTCCTTCAGGAAGACAATAGTTATGAATCATTGTCTAAAGGTTTTTATTTGGAGTGTGAATGGAAAGGATGTTTTAGATGCTATTTGACACTAGCACGCAGGGTAAACTGAAAGGTCAGTCTAAAGGCAGGGAGACCAATAGTCATCTAGGCATAAACCAATCAAGAATCAATGGGAATGGAAAGGGAGACATTTTGGAAGAAAGATTCAACACAATTTGACAGTAGACTGAAATGGAGCGGGTTTCCAGAACAATAATGGTATCACTGACAGAAGTAGAAAAGGAAAGCCCATTTTAAGATGCCCTGTAGGCAGCTGAAGGGTAGTAGGCTGTAACTCTTTGGCTGAAAGGCAAGGAATAAGTAATCAACATAATTCGATACTTTCAGTTAGTAGTTCTCCTACCTATCTCACCTCTCCTCAATCAATATCCTTTGCTGGATCTTTATTCAGGTCATGCTTACAAACCAAAAAACTCTGTTCTGGGGCCTCTTCTCTTCTCCTTCAATACTATCTCACTTGGTTCCACAGATTCAATTATCATCTTTATTCTAATGATTCTTAAATCTACCTATCCAGATCCTCTCTGCTGACCTCCAAGTCTCACATATCCAACTGCCTCTTGAACATCGGAATGTCCTACAGACACCTTAAATTCAACATGTACAAAACCGAACTCATTATCTTTTCTCCCCAACTCTCCCCTCTTCCTAATTTTCCTATTACTGTTCAGAGTACCACCATTATCCTGGTCACCCATACTTGCAACCTAGTTGTCTTTCTTGACCCTTCATTCCTTCTCACTCTTCCATATCCAATCTGTTGCCAAGGCCAGTTGATTCTATCTTCATAATATTTCTTGTATTTACCACCACTCCCTTCCTTCTCTCCCCTAATACTGTCACCACCTTGGTGCAGACCCTCATCACTTCACACCTGGACATTGCAATAGCTGGCTGATTGGTCTTCCTGCCACAAGTCTCTTCTCAATCCAGTTTATCCTCCACTCATCTATCAAAGTTATCTTCTTAAAGCATAGGTCCAACCATGTCACTCACCCCCTCCAC